CAGATGGATTATAGTTATGCGAAACATAAGAGAAAAAAATCTCTGCCAATGCAAACATAGAAAAAATCTACTTTTGATGATCCTAAAAATTAGCTTATGCTTGTTTTTGGTACCACCTCCTCAGTATCACTTTGTATCTACGTTTTAACTGCTAGCCTGCAAGCTCCCTGAAGGTGGACACTGACATTCGGGTATGTCCCCAACATCTTCAGCACATTTTAAATAAATGAATAAGTAAACTATGTTTTTGTTTAATTTATTCCTTTATTTAAACATTAAAACATTCTGTTCCTAAATAATTTTGCTATTACTACTGGCCATTTTCTACCATTCATGCACTAAAAACTCCCCAAAGTAACATAAATAATGTTATAATAGCTATGTAATAAAACTAGAAAGTAAAATCGTAAGAGAATGACTAACCAGGGTTAACACCCATTTCCACTCATTTTATCAGTCTCCTTGAAAAAGTGCACAAACCCTTTTCATCCAGTAGGGTAAAGTATGGCATTAATTTATTGAATAAGCAATTGAATGTTGCAGATTAAAAACATTTTTTTATTAAATAGTATTTGAAACTGGGTTAAAAAAAAAAAATCAATCACCTATTTCTTTAGAGAACTAGATTGCCCTCTAGTGGGGTGAAAGCTAATGTGGACTCTAAGGTTTTCCAACTGAGAGAACCAGGAAAGAGAACCAGCCTCAGTTCTGGAAACATCTGGGTCATCAGCTAATTTGGTATTTTCTTCTTATGTGGCAAATTTCTTGCATTTTTCATATAAGGTCACAGATCCTGTGACAACAGTATAGTGTGTGTTTCTCCAAGAAACAAATAGGAAATTGGTGTGAGCTGGAATGAGGTTTCAGCAGCTTGGGAGTGGCCACACCCACAGCAGGTAGCCACGTGCTCAGGGCCAGTGTCATCCATCCTTGTTAGCAAAGAGCTCCTGAGGTGGAATGCGGCATATAGTCAGCCCTGTTCAGTTGGAGTAAAAAACAGTGGTGACTGATAAATCAGGAATTTTCCTTAAGATGGTCTGGATTCATTAATAACAAAAATGCTCAATTAAATATGTGATTGATTCATCTCCCATTTCATTTTTAACTGTACAGATTTAACTTGAAATTCTGGATGAAAGCAATTACTAGATATTCACAGAATTAAGTAACTATTTTGATCCTACATTGTAGGGTGGAAAACTATTTTATTGCGTGAATCAGCTCCATGCACTCTGAAAGGACTGACGGGCACTCAGGAATGTGGCAAAATGTAGCCTCTTGCAGCCTTTTCATCACAGAGAACAAGCTTGGCCCAAATGGCCGAATGCTTATTCCACAATCTATCCATTAATAATTTAAAAAATCCCCAAAGTAAGTAAATGTGTTTTTAGTGCAACAAATAAAATCCTGCTAAAAATGTTAATGACTAAGAGCAGAGGCAATTTTCTCACAATAAAAATAATCCCCTCCCCCTTAGGATAGAATAATTTACTATAAATTTGTAGGTCACTTCACAAAACCATTGCGAATTGTGACTGAAAAAAAATTCCAGACTTTAATGTTAAAAACCATTCAATCTTATTTATTATTTTAAAATATACTTTCAGAGAATTTTAACATGTAGATAAACACCACCAGGTTTACTAATTTATACCATCATGTATAAATGTATTTGGGCTACATTGGGTCACATAGTGCTTATTGCAGGCTCAGCTTACTCAGCTGGTATTAACCATATATATAATTAATTGATAAGCTACTGCTATTTCTCTTTCAGTTTGATCTTGCAATCCTGACCAAATTTTCATTTTTCCACTTCAGGTTATTGATATATCCATTTAGAAGGTGCCCACTTCATTAGAATAGATAATGGGGAATACTATATGCACCTAGTACAATCATGCTGAATAATTGTTTAATGAATCAGGAAAAAGCACCCGCCCTGGTGATTAATTGATTATGCTTTGCAACTGAAACGATTTCAAAATCCATTAATTTAGGATTGTAGAGGTTGTACTTCTCTTCATGATTTGCAAATACAGCTTACTCATGGCAGAAAGGACCCTTGCATTTGTCATATTTTGGGTGGGATTTTTATTAATGGGATGGTGGCTACCATTTCACGATCCAGGTTTCTGTGCAGGATTGAGACTGTATCAAGAATCAGCAATTGCAAGAACAGTTTCAAAAAAAAAAAAAAAAGAAACAGTTAAAAATTTGTGCATAACCTATATATATTGATTGATAGATATGACCTTATGGAATACACAGTGAAGATCATAACATCTCAATTATATATGCATAATTTTACCCATTGCAGTCACAAACAATTATCTGCGGAGAATTTTCCAGCAATTTTTGGCACACAAACCCTACCCTTAGGAAGCACCTGCACATAATATCCGACCCACAAGAACATATGTAATCCAGACAGGAATTGAAAATACATTCGCTTTATAATGTAAAATGAACAACAGGACAAAAAATTCTTTTCTTAAGGGGTGGGGGAGAAGGAAGGGAAGAGTAGAAGGAAGAAAAGTGAGGGCAACAAGGGTTAATAATCCTTAACCAAATTCAATCATTCAAACCTTTTGAACAAATAAGGCCATTGAGTCATGAAGTAATAATAATAATTATAATGATTTGAAATAATACTGATAATGATGAGTTTGTAGCCGCCCTTCTGCAGCAGAAACCTCTCGATGGGGGTGCAGAACGCAGAGCGAGACCGCCCCATCCCTCATTCTGAGAACCTTTCTGGACTTGCGGGTGAATCGCGAACTGTGAAAAGCGGGGTAGCTCAGGACACTGCGCAGAAACCCGTCTCCCGGGCTGCACCCGCGGGGGCGAGCGCCCAGCTCGGGGGAGGGGAGCACAGGGCGCGGCGCTGGGCTCTGCAGGGCTGGCAGCGCTCCACGCGCCGCCTCGCCAAGTGCGCCCCCACCCGGCCAGCGGCTGACTGGTCCCGGCCGCCGCTGGGAGGGGTGGGGCCGAGCCGCGCCTTGCTAGATTAGCGAGGGTCCCTTCTGGAGAGACTATCCAAAGGGTCTACTCCCGGGAAATGATAGAGAACCCGGCTTGGGCCGAGGGCTTCAGCGGGGGGAAAGTAGCCTGAACTCCGCGGGCTGTGGGAGAGCAAGAAAAGAAAAACCCTCCCCGCACCACTGGGAAGGGGTCACCTCTGCGGTCTCGCCGCCGGCTGGGGTGGGGCCGCGCCTTTGTATGGCCGGGCGGGGCTCGAGCCAGCTTTTCTGCAGAGACACCCTCTTGGCTGGGAGGGGCTCGGCGCCAGCTCGCAGAGCAACACCGGGTGTCTGCGCCAAGCGAGGGGGTGTCTGGGCTGTTCTGGACTGCAGGGCTGAAAAAAAAGGGGCTCTAGGACTGCAGACCGTTCAAACGCCCCTCCCCAAGTCCGTTTCTTCCCCACGCCTCGGAGCCCGAGGTCTTCCCCGCACCGCGGAAAGGGTGGGGCAGGGCGGAGCTGTGCAGAGCGAGCCCTGTCCATCGCTTTTTCCCTTCTCCGCATCCCGCACCGGGTCCCGGGGGAGGTGGTGTTTCCAGCAGTCACCAGACCTCGGGTCCCTCCCTGCCTGTCCACCCCGGGGGCCACCGAGAGCTGGAACCGTGGGGCACTTAGAGGCGCACAACCAGCTGGGGATCTCTGTGTCTCAACTGTTTCCCTGATATATAGGTTGAGCCTATGAAAATTGCCATTATTTGGCCCTGTTTGACCTAGAAGACGGGTATTTCACGTGGCTCAATTTAAGAAGTTGGCCTCTTTTGTATCTGTACTATTATATCTACACTTATCTAGGTTCCCAAAGCTTTTACCCAAAACGATCAATGGGCTCAAAGAAGCCTTTATCCGCGTCAATGTCTAGTCACCCTATGCAATGTGATTTTGAAAAAGAAAAAGGCTAATCCACTTTTTTCCTTCTCTCCGTAAAACAGAACAATGAGGCCAGGGTGGGGAAGGCAGGGGCTATGGTCAGGTCTCATTCGGAAGCCGAGTCGGAGTCAGGAGCGACAAGCGCGGGGCGTGGCGCTGCTGTTCCCCCCCGGCCCCAGGGCTGGGCTCCTGGGTGTCGCGCTGCGCTCCCCACCCGGCCCTCTTTCGGCTGAAGCTGCTGCACCCCGCAGGGGGGAGGAGTGAGGGCGCCGGCGCGGCTTCACACAGGGTGGGGCCGTCCGCATTGTGCGCCCAGCGCTGCAGGTGCCTCCCCCTGGGACCGCTCGTCCTCACACAAAGAAACCCCACCCCAGCGCCTGCGAAACCGCTGTCCCTCCACCCCTCCCCACCGCGCGCTTCCCCGCCCCTGCAGCTGCCCACCCGCGCCCTCCATGCCCTCCCCGACTTCCTTTCTCCTTCCCCTCCCTTTCCCTAAAACAAAGGAGCGTAGCACCCCATCCCCCGCCCTAACCTCCCCGCACCGCGCCCCAGGACTAGCGGTTTTTCCGACGAGACAATACCATAAAATTTGCCCCGTTCTCCACCCGCCACCACCCCACCCGCCGTCTCCACCCATCTTTCAAACAACCTAGAAGGGACCGATTTGACTTCGCATTTTTCTTTTTCCTTTCCGCCACCTCCCTCTCCTCTTCCCCATTTTCTTTTTTTTTAACTAGAGAAGAAATAAAGGATGTTACAAAGCACTTTCCAAAATGTCCCTTAACCCCATTTAAGGCAAACAGTAGAGGTAGCTCCCTCCCCCAACAATTGAGCCCTAATTTTAAACATGGAAACTGAACAAATTCTCTTCTCTTGGGAGGGCAACTTACCTGCTTCTACCTTTCAAAAGAAAATTTTAGTTTTAGATTTCCAGGGACCCACTCTTTGCCCTTCCCAAACCCCCAGAACTGCCTTCGTCCTTCCCGGTTTCTGTTTTATCATTACGTCTTTTTCTTTATAAAATATTTCCGAATGCCTTCAAAGCTCTAAGACAGAAGGTGAGAGGTGGGCTCCAGGTCGAGCCGAGGGAGAAGGAGGCGCGATGCCTTACCCATTGCTGTTTTAGCCATTGTAGGGATGTGCAGATGCTGAGCGGTGGCGAAGGCGAAGGGTCCAGCTACAGCAGCGGAGAGAGCGAGAGAGAAGACTGAATAAGGCACTGAGTCTGCAGAGTGGGACCGTGCGAGAGAAAGAGCAAGAGGCAGGAGCCCATGAATAATTATCACTCAGAAGCTCAAGCAGATTGGCTCCCAAGGTCCCCTGACATGACTCCCGCAGAGTCAGAATCTCCAAGCATTAAATATTGATCGGCCAATGGTGCTGGAGTACAAAGTACCAGAATGCAGTTTGAAATGGAAATCAGTCCTTCCCTGGCAGCTCCCCCCCGTTTTGGGGGCCTGATAGTACAGTCCAAGTAGAGTGGAGCCTTAGCCCAGAAGCCTCCTAAGAGCTAAGAACTGGACTGTGTCTACCTGGGAGCCAGGATTGACTTTGTTCACACATGTTTTATTGCACAAATAGACATAAAAAGGAAAAAGGATTTAGAGCTTTGAGAAGTCTTCACAACTTGCTGACAATTGGAAACATCTGTTTAAACATTGTGGTTTTACTTGTTCATGTTTTCTCTTTCACCTTTGGCCCTGTTTTGGTAGATTCTGGTCTCCCAGGGTGACCCCATGTCTGGCTATGGTGGTAGCTTGAAACAGAAATGCATTATTGCCCTTTGTCTCTCAGCACAGTTGGACTCAGATGTCTTGGACTCTTGAAGGTCTCTCAACAGAGTGAGGCCTGGTGTTTTCTACTCTTGGCACAGAAGGAAGGGGCTGTCTGGGCTGTTGAGAATAGGGACAAATGGTTATGGTCTACCTGGGGACCTCATGGAGGAGGATGAGAGTCAGCTTCCTGTGTCTGTGTCTTGTCCATCTGGTTACAGGGCAGAACCATTGGTTTGAGCATTGGAGGAACCATAGGTGGATAATGCCATTCTGCCTTGGAGATGTAGGATTACATGGATTGAAACATCAGTGACTTTTGCAAGTCTCAAAGGAGAAACCTTTATACTGAAAGCTTCATGGAGATGAAAGGTGTGATCTGGAGCATGATTTTTCAGAGATCCAGAGACTCCATTTATAATAGCCAAAGAAAGACGTTTTCAGGTTTCAGGCTGAGAGCAATGTGGTGTGTGAGGATCTCCAGATCAGGTGCAAAAAAGTGACCTTTCATTAGAGAGAAGATATTCACTAATTAATTCTGGTTGACTTAATGAACATCATTCATTAATTCATTCTTTCTCAGAAGACTCACATAAATATTCATTGAGCATTTATCATGTGCCAAGCTTTGAGGACACAATGGTGAAAAAGATTTTAGACCTTGTTCTCATGTAGATTTTAATCTCTGTTAATTTAACACTTCTGTGGTTTCACTGAGCCTTCCTCCATTCTAGATCCATTCAGAAATTGTGGTTTTTGACATTTGAAAAAAAAGGCAAAGGATTGCTAATTCCTTGTGTTTGAAAGCTAAAAGAATAGCACATTGTTGAAATCATGAACATATACAAAATCTTGGCAATTTTTAAATTTTATAGAAATGATTGGGATTATTCTAATGGATGAAATAAATTCTTAGCAGCTTTCTATTAAATGACATTTCAAAATTTCTTTCTAGCCTCATGAATAATATGCAGTTTTGAACACATAAACCATCTGAAAATAACAGGCACTCTCCTTGGTGCTGAAATAAATTTCTTTCTTTTTTTTTTTTTTTTAAAGATTTTATTTATTTATTTGACAGAGAGAGACGCAGCGAAAGAGGGAACACAAGCAGGGGGAGTGGGAGAGGGAGAAGCAGGCTTGCCGCCGAGCAGAGAGCCCGATGCGGGGCTCGATCCCAGTATGCTGGGATCATGACCTGAGCCGAAGGCAGATGCTTAACGACTGAGCCACCTAGGCGCCCCTGAAATAAATTTCTTCACCTCCTATTAACTTGTAAGACATTTACACCCCATGGACATCTTGCTGAGTGATAGAAAGTACTGGAACTAGAGCAATTCTAACCTGCTGAATCATAGGAAAAATAAAAGATAAAGTGGGGATCAATAAAATTACTTCTTGAACAGGAAGATTTAGAAATTATTTTTCCTGTCACTGTTCAGGTCTGTGACTATGACACAGCAATAGAGCAGTATGGAAGTTGGCAAGGTCTGGAAATAAATAACCATTTTCTACCTTTCTATGGTCATTTCCCACTTTAAATGTGAGAGCTAATTCCTTCTCAGTGGAGTAGTTACGAGTATGAGAAGAAGGATCTTCAGCATTCTGTGTGACTCATATCTTTAGAGTATTCCTCTTCTCCCCACCACCCCCTTTCCCCTTAGGCTATGTATCATCTTTACATATTCTTTAACTTCCTTGGAGAACAAGATCCCTAAGTCATGGCATTAATGTCTTTAACAATTATCACTAGCAGTTGAGTAAGATCTTTTGCACTTTTAATTAAACAAAACACACATTCTACTGTCTAATCTCTTATCCTATGGTGAACATGCCTTACTAATGGATAGGAATATGAGAAGGAGGTCAGTATCCATGGGGCAAGTGTCAGATGTGTGTCTCTTTTCTATTTCTGACTTTCTGGGCACTAGTCACCTAACTTCAGCTATGCGTGATTTTCAAGTAATGTCAAGCAGGGGAGAGGGTAGGTTGTTAGTATGTTTTACTATAGAATATAGAGATAGCAGGCTGTCATCAAGTGGTGAAGAAAAACTAAATAAATTCAAAGAGCTGACTTATAATCAATTATTGTTCTTTCTTTTCTTTTAACATAACAATTTCAATCATGGACCTTGGCCTGGGAGGATAGGGGCAAACAGGAACAGAGAATTATCTTATATTCAATAGTTTATTCATCATTTGTTCAGCTAATTCATTCACCCAACAAATATTTATTTAGTGAAATTTTGGGCTTTTATAGTATGAAATCAGCCAACCTTCTCCCTAATGTCTAAAAAATACACAGTGAAAGAAAATGTAACCCCCACTTCTTTAAGAAAATGCTATTAATTTTGGAGGACAAATATTATCCTGTGTATCAGAGTGTTTTGGTTGCAAAGTATAAAAAAAACAACCAAACTGGCTCTGATAATAAAAGGTGTTTTTTTTTTTCTTTTTATTTATCTAACTACAGAGAAGTAGAGTAGGCCCCAGCAGTCTGGAGATAAGAATCAGCTTTCCTTGAAGCAAGTGGTTTTAATAAGGATGGGTGGATACCCAAATTAAAGAATAGGTACTAGGTCTGTAAAAAGTAAAATAAGGCCAACAGTTACCTATCTTCTAGGATTTGGGGTAGACTGAAGGGTTATAATGTATAAACTGCCTAAAAAACTTGGGATACTTAATAAATTATAGATACTATATTTATGGTTTCCAATACATTTAAAGTTTTTACGGGTAGGGCCTGAGTAGTGTATATCTTTATATCCTTTTTGTTGCTTGGCTTCATGATTCACATGGTTGTAAGTCAATAAATGCTTGTGAACTAATAACAACAATAATAAAACACTGTTGAACATAATTCAAAAGGAATGAACCTGGTGAAACCATAGTGGTACTTTCAACCACCTTTCTTTGCTTAGCTCATGTTGGGAGCAGTGAATAAGCTGTTTACTACTGTTTATTTATATGCTGCTCATTCCCTAAAAGACATAGGTGGATAGAACTCACATGAGTAGACTCTTGTTAACTTTTTAAAATCTTTAAATTTTTTTTTTAAGATTTTATTTATTTATTTGTGAGAGAGACAATGAGAGACAGCGAGCATGAGAGGGAGGAGGGTCAGAGGGAGAAGCAGACTCCCTGCCGAGCAGGGAGCCCGATGCGGGACTCGATCCCGGGACTCCAGGATCATGACCTGAGCCGAAGGCAGTCGCTTAACCAACTGAGCCACCCAGGTGCCCCAACTTTTTAAAATCTTTAACAGCAGTAAGAGGAAGTTGTGGAAGTCAAAGATGTGCTAACAGATTTTAATTACTGTGGGTTACAGTGTATTGTGTATTATCTCTGTGACGAGGCCTGAAGTGTTGATTTCTTTCCAAACTGGGGAGGAACAGTTGCTTTGGAGGATTAGCTAATGTAATCTAATGTAGTCATATGATTTTCTGCTATTAATAATCAAGTGTCTGGGAAAGAATCCTAAAGTAATTATTAAAAGTTAGTAAGATATGAAAAATATTGCTAGAGTTGAATTAATTGTTTTGGTCTGACCTCAGTTGATTACAAAGGAAGTTTGTGGGGGAAAAAAAAGGCCATAGAATTTTTTTTTTTTAGGTGGTTGGGAATGCAGTTATAGCTGAAGATATCTAGAAATGCATCTAAAATAGTAAGATGAAAAAATAGTTAATTGACTAACATTTTGACTATGTTGCTATATTTAAACCCTTATAGATTAGTGAAAAGTAAAAAGAATCAAATGTCCTCTGATAGCATTGTCTAATATGGTTTATTTAAAAGGAAAATCATTCTGAGGAGGGAGAGTTAGTGTTCCTTATTAATAATGAAATCTATATTGTTCAGGAATTTTCCAACGTGGTAGAGTTGTTTTCTGCAATGGTGAATGAACATGTTATTTCTTCTTAGATCAGTTATTTAAAGATGAAGAATGCTTAGTTAAAGCATTTTTTTTTGTACCTAGGGTTTTCTTTATGTTCAAATGGGACTTCTACATTAGTAATTAGTATAATTTATCTGGAAGAAAAATGACCTATTGAAATTAGTAAGTCCTGTTGATGGTTCTATAATTGAACTTTTCTGAAAATGAATTTGCTCTAATCATAAGAAGGACTTAATATAAATTTAATAAGTTGAATCTTTACATTAAATTGGTATGTTGAAAAACTGTTTGCTATCTTGGCAACAACTACCATGACTCTCTCCTTCTCTCTGTGAATTGATTTACAGCTTGAGTCCAAGGAGGACATTAGTTGGACACCACTGAAGCTGAGAAGTTGATTCCCCTTGGGATTCCACTCAGCATTTTAGCTTACAACACTTGAGTGGGAACAAAATGGAGACAATACTGAAGTGCTTGGAGGAGAAATCTAGGCGAAGTATGACTCACTCTATTTATCCCATAAGTCCCATTTTATTTTATTTTTTAAACAGAAGTCCCACTATGAGCAGTGCACTATACATACTGTTAACAGTAGTTGCCTAAGAACTTTTTTTTTTTTTTTTTAAATCACAACCAGGAGGAGGAGGAGGAGGAATTAGGGAAGGAAAAAGCAAAAGCGTTTTATTATACTGCCTTCCAGGGATATTTTTCCATTAACCATTTATTAACTCATTCTCTGACTCTCTGAACTTCCCTCACCCCTGCTCTGCTTTATTATCAAATGGAAT